AGGGGCCCAAAACTGAACACCGTATTCGAGGTGCGGCCTCACCAGTGCCAACTACAGGGGCACGATGACTTCCCTACTCCTGCTGGCCACACTATTTCTGATACAGGCCAGGATGCCATTGGCCTTCTTGGCCGCCTGGGCACACTGCCGGCTCATGTTCAGCCGGCTGTCGACCCGCACCCCCAGGTCCTTTTCCTCCAGGCAGCTTTCCAGCCACTCTTCCCCAAGCCTGTAGTGCTGCATGGGGTTGTTGTGGCCGAAGTGCAGGACCCGGCACTTGGCCTTGTTGAACCTCATACAATTGGTCTGGGCCCATCGATCCCGCCTGTCCAGGTCCCTCTGCAGAGCCTTCCTACCCTCGAGAGCAGATCAACTCCCGCCCAACTTGGTGTCGTCTGCAAACTTACTGAGGGTGCACTCGATCCCCTCATCCAGATCATTGATAAAGATATTGAACAAGACTAGCCCCAAAATATACCTAGCTAGGAGACCATAATGTGAAGTAGAGATCAACAAATAAATGAGGAAGCTGTAGAAAAGCAACAGGATTTCATTTAAATTGAAAACTACATTTAAAACACGTGGCCAAGATGCAATTTCGTTCCCTGGTTTTTGTTTCAAAATAAACAATGGGTAATAAAGGGATGCTAGCTTCTTTAACTAGTCAGTATTCTTTCTTATTATTTTGATTTTTAGTAGTAGTAACTTTCAAAACTAGACTGGTTAAGTGACAGAAGAGAGACTGTAACTGTTCCATTTTTTTATTAAATGCAGGGTGATGAGCTGGTCTCTGCCCTCAAGAATTTTCCATGTAAATGGAAAAAAGCCAAGAAAGACAGTAGTAGCGATGATTTGTGGGGACCTTTTCTGTCATTCCCTGTAGCGTCACAGCAAAGTTCTTAAAAGGTATAAGGTTGGGCAGCTGTCTGCTTAAGATGGCTTTGTTTAAATATGGTATAGTATAATTGGGGATGGGACTGAGGAAAAGCATGGACAATACTTAAAAAGCATATAGGCAGTTAATACTGAAAAAGTGTTGAAAGTTAAATTGAAAGTTGCTGAACATGGTTTGGCCAGTGTTCTCTAACCCCTGTTGATACAGCTTTAGCAGTTGTTCGTACTAGCTGAAGGGACAAGGAGTGCCTTGGCTTGTTAAACTTGCAACAGCTCAAGAATTTTGTTTAAGTTTAGGTCTGCAAAGGCTAAATTCCTACATTGTATGGTAGGTGAGATTAGTTAAGCCTTGAGACATCAAGACTATTATTATATGGGTGCCTTATGGATAGACACACTAATAGTCATTCTTACTGAACAACAGTGGTTTTTCTAGGAGAATCTTCATTTTTAAGCCTTCTGTTTAGTTTTACGTGTGTACAGTGCTTCCTCAGTATCAGGAGTTGCCTGGAAGAGGCACATACAAATGCGTTATGTTATTCAGTCATAATTCCTGTGAATAGTAATAATAAAAATGTCCAAAGTCTACTACTTTGATTTAACAAATGTCAATGCACTTAATATTTAACCATTAAAGCATAATGTAAACTTAAATGTGTATACAGTACAGCTATCTTATAAAACAGTAGTTCAAGTGGGGCCAATAGCGCTCTTATCAACTCCTCAGTCTTAATTCATGTGTAAAAATGGGACTGAAGACTTTTTTTTTTCCTTTCCCAAGTGGTTAGAAATTGGCACTTTGGAATTTCATGTTACCCCATGTGCAAGAGAGGTGGCATTGTTTAATCCATAGTTTAGATACTCGCATTCTGTAGGCTGTAGAGGACCCTTACATTTTTCATGTTACTTTATTAATGACCTGAACATTTCTTATGGGTTTTGCTGTGCTTGGTAAGCTGGCTCGTGTCAGCGTAGGTAAGGTACTCAGAAAGGTAACACCAAAAACCTATGTAATAATAATTTGGAAATGTCACTGAACACCTAGTCTCTAAAACCACTGACTTTTAAAAACTGGTGAGTTTCTGATACCTGGATATTTTTTGGTAAGATTTAAGCTTTTCAGGAGAGGTTTTTTCTAGTTTAAAATTGAAATTCTGCCTTCCTCTGGCTTTATAGTTTTCCTCTAATCCCTTATACTTGTGTTATTGAACCTTAGTCAATATTTAACTATCATCATTTCGAATAGCAGGATGTGTTCCCTCTTAAGTGTTATGCCTCCTACTAGCCAAGGATCCAAGATAGTGCGAAAGGAAATCTGTACTGAATTCCTCAGGAGACTCTGGCATAGAGATACTGTTGTGGGAGATGAATGCAGGGAGATTTTTTTTATGCGAGGAATGGATGCTTTGAATAATAACTACAATATGTTAGCAAGGAGATGAATAGAGCGTACGAGGGAACAGAAACTGTTTGGTGTGTGTGCAAAATCTTTTTTTCTACTTTACACATCAAACTTGCTCCTTGCATTATAATTCACTTCTACCTTCAGAAAATAATCTTACACCTCAGCTAGCTGTGCCTGGCAAAAAGTCTTGCTTTTGCATTGCTCACTGTCAAATGCATCAGAGTTGGAAGGAGGAGAGTGGAAATTCCTAATATTTTAGGATGCATTGCACAAGTACTGTAAAGTGCTGGGACCTACCAAGGTGCAACTGGAGTTTCAAGTTGTCCTTAATGATTATTGACTTCCAGATACTATTTGGGAAGGGAAGAAAAGGATTTAGTTGTGAAAGCTGGGATATTGCCAGAAGACCAAGGTAGCAGGTCTCCCAAGTTTTTTGGGGTGATGCAGACTACTAAAGTTAACTCTCTTCATCATTCCGTAATGTAAATCTGTGGGAATAAAATTTAGATCGGCAAAAAAATCGGAGTTTAAATTTGAGTAGCTGAAAACTGGTGTAGTAGAATTAAAAAAATTGTATCAATACAAACCAGTTGTTCTGAAAATATTTTAAATTGTCTAGCAATTATCAAATATTTCTGTACTGTAAAAATGCATCTCTTATTCTCTGATGTAAGATATAAAAACATGAACTCCCTGCAATTTATTACTATTCTCTTTCTAGTCAAATAATCTTTGATCTTTCAGATTTTAAAGCGCTTTCATTCTCAAAACTGCCTTGTATGTTTCTGACTACTTGTAGCATCTTTCATCAGAAGAAAACGACCACAGTTCTTGTTACAGCCAGTCAGATAGTCAGTATGGTTCTCCTCCAAAGGGTTGGTCAGAAGAGTTGGATGAACATGGTCAAACCTTATATACCAATGACTATACTAATGAAAAGGTACTTTTTCCTTCTTCTCATCACATGTTCTAAATCTTTTCCACTAATTCACTGTTAGAAATGCAGATTTCATTTCTAGATGTGGAAAGCATGCCTCAGCAGTATCTCCTTTAGTTTTTTAAATATGCATGAAACTTTAGCAGCCGAACTGACTTTTTTTTCCTTATGTATGTTCTTTACTATTCAGAAAAAGTTTTCTTATTTCCAGTTGGGTATCAGATTATATTAAATGAACGTATCATGTATAACTCTTTTTAATCCCCACCCTCCCCCATCCTCTTGGTTACACTTCAGGAATGAACTTCATACCAATTACTGTCTTTTAAGAGCTGTTCTTGTCTACATAGGACTTCCAGTTAGGATGGTTTCGAACTGAAAATAACGCTGCTTTATCAGTTTCATCCTTTCCTTTACTAGAGATTTTCAGTACTGCTTTCAGATGTAGACAAACTTCTTAATTAAACTACAGCTGTATCAGCAGATGTATGTTCTATTTTAATTATCTAATTGCTATTGACAACTTACTGTGATTTTGGGCATGTCATAAAAATTTCTCCCACATAGGATAAATGGCAATATTTGTGTATACTTGTAAAGCAGTCCGTTTTTCTAATTGTTCACTAAAGCTGCATTTTGGTTTTTTAACCTCAAAAAGTGTTCATTGAAACAGCAATTTGTTTACCGTATTATAGCACCACCTCTTCTCCTGTTGATGTACGCAAATTTTTTTTTTTGAAAGAAGTTTTTAAATAATTGAGTTTTATGTCAGTTTTGGAATCTTATCCTGCTTAATCTATTTCTGCTAAACATCTGTAGAGCCACATACCTATGTTTTGGCAAATAGGCAAACTTTTTTTAAATTGCACTGGGATTGATAGAAAACAGTGTTTCCTGTCACAAACAGTTTATTGGAAGGCAGTCTTGTGAAACCTGCTTGACCCAAGAGTTTCGCTGTGGGTGTTTCTGTGCATATCTTTGTGCAATCTTCTTGTAGACTTTTGCTCATTACGATTCTTTCCTTTCTGCATAACTAGTCACAGTTGTCATAGCTTTACCTCTTTGATTGTGGGAGTTGCTTATAGAGGTTACAGAAATTATATTATCTTCGTGATGTATTTAGGAACTGCATCTCATGTTCCTGTTGATGTTTTAAAAATGGAGTTGTTCAACAAGTGGAATTATCTCTTAAATTATCAGCAGTTGCTGGTTAACCTTCTTGTAATTCTGTTATTTTACGTATAAAATCCTTACATAGATCTGATGCAAAGATTGTGCTTCCTTAAACTGACACCGTAATGTTGATAAGAGTGAGATATGCCATCTTCAAAAATACCTGTTTATCACAATCTCTTGTATGTTATTGCAGGACTATTTTCTGAGGAGTTACAGAAGGAAAAAATACTAGTGAACTCAATGCAGGAAGCTGAAGACTGTTGCTCTCATTGCTAACTAACCTTGATTAGTTAATGTTGGTTGTGCACTAGACACTGATGAAGTGGATGGCACTTTATTAAAAATTAACTTTAAATCCCAAGTATCAGAGGTTTACTATGTTATGACTGTCACTCTGATTACATTTCCTATCATCACATTTCTTTCTACAGTGGATAAAACATGCAGATGAACAAGGTAGACCATACTACTATAGTGCTGATGGTTCCCGATCAGAATGGGAGTTACCTAAGGTGAGTGACCTAAAAAAGCAACTTTGACAACTTGGGGCTTTCCCCTCCTCCTCAATAAATCTTCTATGGGGCCTTCAATGGGAGTTATTCACAAGAGGACTTATATATTGCACTTGGTTATTTCTTGCATTTTTGTGGAATTTCTGATTGTGAAGAGAAAAAAATATACTCAAGGACATGAAAAATGGATGTATGTAACTACTCAGATGCCAAAGGTGATCTTGTATCTTTGCTGAACTCAGCTTTTCATAAAAGGCTGCAGAATAATATCTGTGATTTTGCTGTGATAAAGAAAACCTCTATAGGGAAAAAGAATTTTTTTTTACTACAAAATGTTCCTGAGAAACTGTAGTCTATTTTTACTACCCTCCAAAATGCATTATTTTTCTGTCATGAATTTCTAAATTTGGTGACTTAGGTGTTTTTCAACACCTCTCTTTTACAGAGAGGTGTTGAAAACCAAAAGTTTCAGCAGTTTTGTGGTGTCTTTGAAGATGACACAGTTTCACCAGAAGTGTGTTCTGGTATTTATTAATTTTGTAACGAAAATAGGAATTTGTAGGAAAGTGACAGAGCTAAGGACACTTGGTAGTCTGAGGATGTACCTAGTACTATTTAATTTTCATTTTCGCTTTGAAAAACTATAGGACACTTGTCATAATGACGTAGTTGTATATGTCTTTCCTGCTATTAGGATGTTTGTTCAATCGTACATAGTAAGGTGACCATTAAAAAAAAAGTTTCACACGGAATTATGTGTATAAGTACATGAAAGAGCATGTTTCTCGATTATTGTTTCATCAGTCCAAAAATCGGTGTCCTAAGTCACTTCCACTTAGAAAGGAGCAACCTTAATAGATAGTGCTTTCATAATATTTGTGAGAAAATATTTACATTGAAATTTATGAATGAAGCTATACACTAGACGGTTTTGTTACATCAGTAAAAGAATTTGTATCTGAGTCACTGAAGAGTTGAGTTAGCTTTGTGAATTTTCCCATGTTGGTCTGATGTGTTAGATAACTTAAATTTTGTAACATACATAAACCTAACAATATGATCTGTAACTATTGGTTTTAAAAGCTACTTAGCTATTGTTTAGCTATTAGATTAATTAGAAGTCTGAAAATCTGCTAGACCAGGTTTTACCAGAAACAATTGTTAGTTCAGTAGGTATAATTGCAGTTAATTTGGGGGAATAATGTCTTGGGTACTGCATTCTGTGACTTCTGCAATGCAGGAAGTTTTGACTGTGAAGAAGTTGCTTTCCACTAAAATAGGTTGGGTTTGGATTTGAACTAAATAGCAAATTAAGTTGGCTTTAATCCAACTACAATAAGTCACAAAGGTAATCTGAAACTGTTACCCGAGGCATATTAGCGTAAAGGTCTAGCATTTGTGTGTTAGTGCGTGATATTGCTAGTGGTTCTAAATAAACATCTGAGCTCTGGTGTATCAATAGCCACCTACAGAATGAAATATATCCCCTGGTTTAGTGTTTGTGATCTGATATGCTTTAGTTCTTGTTTACATGAAAAACATCACATATTGCTGTTACAAATTTTCCTTGAAAATTATTTCTCATGAGCCATTTGGGCAGAATGTACTCTCTAATTCCTTCTTGAAACTAGTAAATCTTGGGTGGCAGCAAATACAAGGTTAACAGAAGTAAATGAGCAAATGACTCTTGGATTCATAGTCCAAGAGCCTATGTATTTCCAGAAATCCTTAGCTTTTAACTTTAAATGCTGTGGAATAGATTAAACATTTCAGCAAAAGATTTAGCTAGTTTATGTAACTATATATCTGAAGAACATACAGCAGAGATGTTACACTTGTGAGTAATTGAAGCGTGATTGAAGATCAGTCTCTAGAAAATCTTACTGAAGCTGGTTCCAAAAGTGTTTAGGAACAAATGAATTGGAAAGACAACATAGACCGCAGAACTGCTTTGAAGAAAAAGAATCTGTATTGAAAACTCTTATGAGTAGTGAGAGGAAACTGTAGAAAGGCTTCAGCATTGTAACTCTTGCTTAAATGAAAATTAAGTTACTAGGGAAAAAACCCTACTCTTGGTCAGTTTTTTCCCCAGTGTATTTAGTTCAAATATTGCCTTCCAAAATTTGTTGTGAAATAGTGATGGAATAGCATGGTCATGTAATGCTGGTTAAACCAGAAAAAGAAGAGAATCCTTTTGTTAGACGGTTCTTAATAATCTGGACTTCATTAGAACTAAAAATCGTCCGGAGGTTTCTGGAAATAGCGCATTAGCTGAGCTAATACTATAACATGAAAAGTCCTCACTGTTACAGCATTAACTGTAAATGTGAACATGCTCGGGAATAACATTTCCAGTATTCTTGTATGTGTGTTAAAAATTGTGAGGGTATATGTTGGGGGAGGCAGTTACAAAACAAATTACTTTAGACAGTCTCATAGAAAGCCTTCCAGTCATGTATATTTAAATAACATCTAGGAATAGCTGAATGCCTTTGGCTAAAAATGTCTCAGATGGAGTAGCTTTGACAACTGCTGAAAAGTCTATTAAGACTCATCATGAGTGTGACCCAGCTTTTTGCAGTGGCACAGAAGAACATACTGAATTATTCTTTAAAATGGATAATAATCTTCAACCATAGTTTGTACTACATCTTGCAAAAGACTTTACGTTTTCTCCTATGCATTCTGCTGCATTCAATTGTCAGTTCTTGCCAATTATATATATATATGAAAAAAAGTAAACCAGCAAGTGAAAGTTCTTTTCTGTGTAGTTCACTCTGAAAAAAGATGTTTATTTCTTATATAGTGAATGAGTAATATGTAAATCATGTTGAGAAAGGATACAAACCTATTCTAGAAATGTAGTAGTTTTTTAATACGAGTTTTATAATTCAAGCAAATGAGAAATCTGTATTAAGGGGGGGGAAAGTTAAATTGATCTCAGGAATGAGAACTCTCTAATTTCTAAAGTTCAAAAAACATACTCTGTATGTATGGCAGGCAAGGAAGACGTAATAAATATTGAATAAGTATCTCAAAGGGGAGGAAGAGAGGCAAACAATAAAAATTAGAGTTACCGATTAGTCGTCTCTCAGATTTCCAAAATGTGTTCCTAGGCTGATATCTGGCATAACAGCATGAGGATTGGCCATCCTCTGACCGAGCTCTCTGATCCAAGAGTAGACTTTGAAAGAAAATGTTTATACTATAAGCATCTGGAGTAAAGTCATAGTTTTGGTGTTAATATTTACAGACTGATACTGCAATTACACTTTCTCTTCTCAGAAGCATTAGCTCCCCTCGCTGTACCCAGAGAGGAGTCACTAGATAGAGGAGCTTCATTTTTGGCTGTCTTATGAGGCCAGCAGTCTGTTAATTCACTCTGTGCACTGTCAACGTTGAGTTGGAGCTCAGGGACCTCAATTCTGATACTCAGGTGAATGACTTTCCTGCTGGAGACCTGAATGCTGTCAAACAGAGCATGCTATATGAAAAATTACAATAAAACATGATGCTGGTAATATCAAGAAGATATCATGCAATCAAATGGTGAAAGAAAATAAAGATGAGAATGTGTAAATAGGGTCTGTTTGTCTTATGGTTGATGTAAACTGGTTTTGTTCTGAGCAGTGCTATTTGATTTGAGGTAACACATCGTGTGTTATCTACTGTAAGTCAATGCACTGAGCAGTATCGTTAACAATAGTGAATAATCTTCACATTCTTGTCATAAAATTTGGGATTGCTCAGAGAAAGTTGAGACAGTCTCAGCTGATGTGAGGATCTAGAGGTTTTTTAAGGACAAAAGTGCAGGTGATATGACAAACCTGAGATATGTCTGAGAAGGTAATCAGATTTTTTTTTTCTTTCTCTTTAATGTGTGTTTTTGTGTCCAAGAGGCCTGATCTGGTCTTCCTCATTTGCCCTGGTGTTTGGTGGTTTCCGTCCCCCTCCCCTCCTCCCAAATAAGAAGAGACAGGGGAAAAGTGCCCTCAGCTTTTGCTTGGGCAAGCAGCAGGGCCCATGGCAATCAGTGCTGACTTGGAGCTCTTTGACAAAGATCAGCAGTCTTAGTGATCCTGAGGGTTAGAAGGTGAAGCAAAGAGAATTAAGTGGGTTATACAGAGGTGTCTTTCAGTCACTTCTACATTTGAGATCCAGCTGCTTGTCCCAGTAGTCTCCTCATTCTCCATAGGTTCTGTTCCTTCAGTGCGGCTGATGCCTCCAACTGGTGCCACTCAGATGTCCTACGGCAGAGAATGAGGAGTATTCTTTCTCTGAAGAAAGAAGGGGAAGGGGTAGGGATGAAATCCTTAAAAAAGACAAAAATTCTTCTTTTTTGCTTTTATTTTGGTAGGTTAAGAAAAGCATGTCATTGATTTAGTTGATCAGAAAAGCAAAACCTGTAACAGGTGTTAAGTCAATCACAGCACCAAAAAGTTTATTCAAAGCTAATGGCAGCAATAGCACTGGAGGGTGGCTTTGTTCTGAGGCAAGTTGTTTTTTTTTTTTTAATCTTCGATTTCAGACAGTCTGTTGGAACAACTGCAAATAATATGGTAGAGTATATAATGGTACTAGCATTTCAGAATATTTTTAAGTGCTGTTGTTTTAATCTCTGACTGCAAGAAGGTAGAGTGAAATGCTTAACCTCTAGTCTTTACCAAGTTTCACTCTTTTCTCCCTTCACCCACCCAGTTCCTTTCATCTGGCTGAGGGTGTTGTTAACACAAACGAAGAAGAATCTTTTTTCTGTTTCTTAAAGCTGACAGATCTGTGTCATCTCCATAAGAATGGGGACAACTGCTACAAATAACTCGGAGGTGTTATATTTATTTCAGTCACAATTAGGCTAGGACAGAGCCTTGAGCCATGCCATGTATCAGGTTAAAATTAAATATAAAACACTTGGTCAGTTGAGAGGATTAGAAATTTTTATACCAAGGCAAAGGAGGCTTTTAAGTAGCTAGTGAAGGCATTGAGCAAATTCAGCAATGAAAATAACCCCATGTGACCTAAATTTACACCACTGGTGTCCTTACCCTACGCCAAGAGCTGTCGCAACAAGAAGTTTGTGTTACTTGGTGCATGCAGTCAGAGCATGAACAACTTGCTCACGTCCTCCCTTCCTGATAGGACATGCTCCCAATGAAATGGGGAGCAAACTGAGGTGATGTGCCAGGTTAATGTAATGGGACACGTTTGAGTTTGTGGAGGATTTTCAAGGAGCAGTAGTGTGCACATTTGAAGTTCTGTGCTACACTATCAAAAGCTTTAAATTAAGAAAACAATAGCATCTCCTTCAGATGCAATGTTAAGGCACATGGTGTCACAGAGATCGTCCTACCAGGCACGTAGTCTGGAATGGGTCGGTTTTACTGGACTGTATGGCTCTTGCCTGATCTCTGTCTTCAAGATTACACCAAGGTTTAGGCATAGAAAGCCTGCCTAGAGTTATGTAAAAATATGATTTTGTGCAAGGGAAGGAGAGCTCAACCTAGTTGCTTATCCTTGCTGATAAACAGTGGGAAATGTCATTGCAAATACCTGTAGGAGAGACAACAGCTCTGCAGGTGGGAGTCCTTTAAAGTGTCAATAAGTTAATCTGACCTGGAACTGTTCTGCAAGGCTTTTTGAACTAGGAGGATTGGCAGGGAGAGGTGGTGCTGGTGGAGCAGACCAAAAGGTAGCAGGGGTGTAGGCATCTGACCTGGTCAGTGAAAACTCTGGCTATTTCTCTCTAGCCAGTGGACTCTACCCAATCTAGAGGATGGCTAGTTCAGTTGGATAATGCAGAGTCTGAAACAGTATCTATATCTCATTGTGATTCTCTTTGGGCATCACAGATCAATCCATTTATTTTAAAAGTAGAGGCTTGTCTTGAGCCCAGACTATTTGTAATGAAGAAAACAAACACCCCCCCAACCCCATAAATGCTTGAGTGAAAAATGTTTATTTGACACTTATTGTGAGAAAATGGAGTAATACTCCCTTTAAAGACTTGTTAGTTTACTAACACTGTTTGTATCACTCATGTAAATATTTAAGCTGCTAAGATACATGGCTCAGTGTTCTGAGTTGTTAGCAGTGCTTTGTTAATGGGCTTCACATACTGTTGCTTTGCTTTCTTGTTAAATGTTGTGTAAAACTAGAATTTCATATTACTTTACAGGTCCTTTCTCCTTCAAGATGGGGTTGTCTGTTAGCTAAGTTGACTCTTGGTGGCTTGTGATGGTATCAGAGGCACCTTTTAAATACAGATCACCTGTAGTGAGGCTTGTGCCTATATCCCAACTCTTAATATAGATTTAAATTCAAGGAAAATTACTTTAAAATAAGTCTTTGACTGTTTAGACTTAAATTCTTTGAGTTACTCAAATGGAAAGTGCATGGAGGATTTCCATAAATAATATTCACCAGTGTCACTGAAGTGTGTGTGTGTGTATATATATGTATTTGTGAAATAAATGGTTCTGTTTCATAGCAAGAAGTATATTTGAATTGCTCACTTAAATTCTTTAGAACTGCTGCAAGGAACGCGGTTTGTGGCAACTTTCTGTGATTTAGACATAGTTTCATTGAGAATTGTTCAGATTTTAGCTGTAATACAGGCAATTTTGCTCCATATTGCTTAGCTTGCTGACACAGGATGAGTTGTAGGAGCATCTGCTGAGTGGGTATTTCCATAACAAGAAAGTAAGCTGGTATTAGATTCCTTGCAGCATGAATGATGGTTCAGCTTTGATTTAACAGGGGAACAAACTGAGAGTTGCTTAAACCTCACCACTGCACGGAAGCAGTTGTCACGCGAGAGTGTAAATGTGCTGAACCCAAATCAAAGTCAGTGTAATCTCAGAAGTGAATCTCTACAGTGACAACCAATTCATTTCTGTCTGTGCATGAACTACCAAATTTTATTCTCGGTACTGCAAGATCCATTTACTTGAGAGTATTTTACTACTGTTGTGCATATTGAAATAATTTAATGAAACACTGAAGTTATCATTTACCTCTTAAGCGTCTATTGACTTATTGGAGCGTGAACTCTATTCATAGTAAAATACAAAGCTAACACAAGCATAGTGTCTGCCATAGCAGTAATAATGCTGATTCTTTATTTGGGCAATAAATGTAACTGAGTTACACAATTTAACTCAAATTTAGCATTTATGTTATTTAGGTTAAACCTTGCCGTGCTTCACTGGTATGTGTAGGTATAGGTTATTCTGTCTTTTGAACACCTGAGGCTCCGAGCTTACAGTAGGAATCAGTAGGAAAACTGTAGAATTCAGTGTGCTTGCAAAGATTATTGCTATAGCCTTCTTAAATAAAAAGGGCACTTTCCTTTGTTACTTCTTACCCAGTGGATTCTAGTCCTTTACGTGACTCCACAAATGCTGCCTTATGTTTCTTTCTATGTGCAGATTTTAGTCTTCTGACGCTGAATAGAAAGAATGAGGTTTTTAATGACTTTAAAAAAACCCCATACATCGATGTTGTATTTTCTTGTTTGTATTTTCAGTATTAAACTTTGTTTGAAATATTTTTATAATTCTTTATAGTGCTACCTCAGTGTTGGTGGTGATGATTTAAAATGGCAATGCTACTAATAAGTATGCTGCAATGCTGAGATCTAATTAAATGCTGGGTCCTTCTCATGGCCTTCACATTTTCTCAGCCTATGCATCTTTGGATGCTCTTGAGTTACTAGCAAACCCATGTTATGATAAATCCATTCTCTCCTTGGCTCTTACAGCTCTGCTGAGTTTTAAAATTATTCCCTGCTAAATATTTATTTTCTGTGCTTATGTACATGCCACACCAGCAAATCTTTTTATAAGTAATTTGATGTGATTATTCTGAAAAAGCAAGTCCTCATCCCCGTGTCTCCTCTCCTAGGCATCCCAGACCTCTGGGTCAAAGAGAACTGTATCCAAGCAATCATAACTCTCAATCTAAATGCCTTACTGCAGGATAACAGGGTTTTCCTTTTCTTACACAAGAGCTAGACAGGTGGTATAGTACTGTCAGTGCAATATGAAGAGTGAATGTTTAAATCTTGTATTTAATTCCTTGGTGGTTCTCAATATGCTGGCTGGTTGCAAAACCATCAGTAATCTGTTGCACAAGAAATCAAACATCTACTTGCAAAGGGAAAGTGTTGTCCTGACAGGCCAGTCTTAGATACTGCCTCAGAGAGGACTACAGCAGAAAGGGCAGTTCTGAAGACTAAATGCAAAATAAAACCAAGGCTATTTTCACACCCTTGGGTGACATCAGTAATCTGAAAGTTTGCACTGTTAAGGTGTATGAATGTTATGTCCAGGTCTTGTTTGCATGAATTAGATTCTACTTATAGTTTGATTTTTCTCTTCTTTAGTATAATGCTTCACCACAGCAGCAGAGAGATATAATAAAGAGTAGGAGTCTGGACAGGAGGCTACAAGAACCAATAGTTTTAACAAAATGGAGGCACAGCACAATTGTGTTGGACACCAACGATAAGGTAGGAGCAAGTTAAACAGCATGCTGGAATACCAACTGTTTCTGATGTGTGAAGTATTTAATCTAACAGAAATGAGTATGCATGAATTTCTGAAATCTCCTTTTTCTTATATTCTGTTGTATCATGGTGTATAACATTCAGTATAACCGAGGGCTGTTTGATAACTTTACTACTGTTACTTTGTGAGTAGAAGCTCTTTTCTTGTTATCCTTGAAGTATTTTAACTAGTGTTAGTTCAGGGTTTGGTGTATACAGCCATTTTACTTATAATTGGGAATTTCCCTATTCAGTTTAGGCTGTGGAGTGTAATTAGGGTTTGAGTTCAAGAATTATGGATGTGGGTGAGGTTCTCATGTAATGTATAGTAATATTTCACACCTGAATGTTTTAATTGTAGGAAATGCCAATTAGGAATACACTTGAAAGACTTCAGATGAGTAATTGAAAGATGCATAGAATTGAAATAAAAGTTGCACTTGCTAAAGTAAAAATTATGCTTTAAAGACAGAAATAATGCTTTAAAGATAGTAGTAGTATTATATGGTGGATTTATCCCTTTACTTGAGATATTACAATGGAGATCAACAGAACAGTCATTAAAGAGGAAGTAGGAATACACTTGAAAGACTTCAGATGAGTAATTGAAAGATGCATAGAATTGAAATAAAAGTTGCACTTGCTAAAGTAAAAATTATGCTTTAAAGACAGAAATAATGCTTTAAAGATAGTAGTAGTATTATATGGTGGATTTATCCCTTTACTTGAGATATTACAATGGAGATCAACAGAACAGTCATTAAAGAGGAAAAGTTGTGTGTGGTTACAGCAGGGTTGTAACACTGTTGTTGGAGGGCAGAGGACAGCACTGAAAGTGCTGAAACACTTGGCTTTGATCCTCTTCAGGGCTGAGTTGGGCATTTAGTCTGAAAAGAGCTGCGGGTCAGTACCAACAAAAGCTGTTTTCTGCCCATTCTTAGGGCACATTCCTGATAGTCTGTTTTGGGCTGCACAGTAATAGATGCTGTTTAGGCCAACAAGGAGATAGAGCCTCTCCCTTGCTCTCCCTCTGCCTGTCTCTCTTCAGTTTGATTTTTGTCCCAGTCGTTTCTGCTTGTGCTGGGACATCCTGCCCATGGGTGAGGAGAGTTGATGTGAGCTGAGCGGGGAGGAACTGAAATGGGTGTTGTATGGTAATGACTTGCTGGTTTCTGTAACTTTGCAGCAGTCCATCCCAAGATTCATGGAAACTGAAATACTTTGTAATGTTGAAATCTTAGCGTGGACTACTCAGAATGAGGTACCAGGAAACAATGTTGTAAGCTCCCTTTTTCTAAAGATACAGGGAAAAATGAAATGAATGTACATTTGGGAGTATGGAGAAAAGCCTATAAGTGGGCCTGTGTAATCGCAGATGTCAAAGACAAACTTAAATGGAGAAAACACAGTAGTTGTAATGAAAATGGATCTGCAGCCCAGAATGTTACTTGCTTGACCTGTTGTTTCCGGTACGTTTTAATTGCTTTCCTTGTTGAAATGGAGTATAGGAGAGTGGGTTGTCATGAGTTGACTTAGTTCCTCAGAATAGGATTTATTGGATTTGATCTTAAGCTTTTGAGCTGTCAGTTTAGGATATATCATACGTGGTGCTGAGGAGGCAGTGGACCATGCTTGACTGGAGACTTTGCACCTGTACGCATTAGTTTAGCTCGAGCGATTCTGAGGTCCCTTTACTGCTCCCTTCCCCTCCTGACTCCTCCTTACGCATCCTTCTGTACCGAGTGTGTTGTGGCACTGCATGAGAGATAGCCTAGGTGGAGTCCTGATAAATCAAAGCTGAGTGGACATTTCTAGCCTCATGTGCAGTTTACACTTCACAGGTATGAACAATTCTGTTGGACATAGCTCAAAGTTTTGGCCTCGCTTTTAAAGGAAGACTTGTCTTTTTATTTTCTGGCATAAGATTTGCTTCTGTTTTGGAATGACCTTTATGTAATGCTACACTGAATGAAGAAGCTCTTGTAAAACACTGAATAAGGGGAACTGTTTACTTTTCTTCAAGATAACAGTGTTCAAATACCAAGACCTTAAACCTAGTGAAGCAAACATGCAAATGTACATATGTCTAGTGTAATAACTGAATTAAACTGTGTATATGAGCCACATTTGTAGAGTCTAATTCAGTAGCTTACAGTTCTTCTAACAGCTTCAAAACATGCAGGCAGCATGCATTTGTTAATGTTGAGGAGACTGTGTAGTTCATATAAACCACAATGTTAATGCTTTGAGAAAACTAAAAATGTGTAGTGGAGCAATAAACTGGTGTTTTGTGGAAAGACAAATTTTGTTTAGTGCATTGATGCACCTGTTTTATTACCACTGGCAGGCACACTGTTACATATACTGCTTTAAATTAGTATGTGAAAAGGGAATAGTTCATGACCACAAATACTAGATTTCTTGTTCCAGAGCTGCTTAGCGTATGAAAGCTATCTCAAATTCAGAATGAGATAGAAAGAAAAACAACTGCTATTTAGCTGGATAGGCACATCAACCCCAAGTTAGCTTTTTAGCTGACTTTTAGGGAAGCTATTTTCTTTTTATTTTCCTTATTTGTTTTTCCTGGAAAAACAACACAACTCAGTTGTATGAAAATAGGCCAGTCAAAAGAGTGCTTGAAATGTGTCAGAGTGAAAGTATGGGTTGCCATGGCTGATGAGAATTTGATGATAGCAAATGCACTTGTTAACTGTTTATTGGCTGTGGCACATACCTATATACAGGTATCAGCTAAAAAATTCGGTAAGCAGAGGAAAAAATACCTTCCTGGGAGGGACAACGTTGATTTCCTTAATTTGAACATTTCCCCCCCCCTAGGATATCTGAAAACATGGAACATTTAGACTGTTTTTAGGAATGCTAATGTTCTCTGTTATTATGCTACTAAAAGAACTAGTGGACCACTTCTGTAGGTAGATTTACAAGTGGATTTTAAAGCACGGGTGTGCAGAGTGTTATGTAATGCTGAAAAAGCAAACTGAATTTGGGAGAGCTGTCAAGGGAATTAAAAACAGGGGAGGGGGAGAAATGTGTTAACAGTAACAGAGAACAAGCGATGGTTTTCTTCTGTCTAAAATTCTTTACCAGATTTTCAAGCGGTGTATTTGTGCAAAGCAATCATTACTTCAGAGGAAACGCACATGCCTTTTTTGTTCCAGATAGGCAATTTTTCTAGTTTTCAGAGACTTAGTAGTTTCTTCTTTTGATCCATAGTTAATGTCTAGTTTAAAACAAAAACCTGAATCTCTAGAAATTTTCAGTGCTTGATTATAAGGAAGTTAATGATCATGACTCACAAAAATGAATAGAGTTGGTATATGCTTTTCTACATGTATAACAATTTATTGTACTAATCTTATATTTACTAACCACATAGAGATGCAATCTGTTCTTTAAAATCTTGGTATTTATTACATGGTGTCCTGTAATAAGTTAGTATTATAAATGTGCTTCATAATTTGATAGCAATGTCATACAAAAAAATCTGCCCCTTAATAAGGATGAAAGTTTTGCTTTAAGCTGATACAGTATGTATTAATATTTTTTCAAATGGATGTGTGCTAATTAACCCAGTTTGAGTGTTGTCTGTAAATCTTGTAAGAACACTGTTTGGTAAGCAGGTTTATAATATAACTATCTGAGAATATCATGAATGCTTAAAAAAAAAGTAGGTTTTTTTTTTTTAAATGTGTGAGTGTGTATAAATAGAGAGAAAGTGTCTTTAGGGTTAAAAAAAAATAAACGAATTGTCAGAAAGATAATAAATTATGTTGCCCATTCAAATTTTACAGGAATCATCAACTGCTTCTAAGGCCAGTTTTCCTGAAAATGAGTCCTCTCCTTCTTCACCAAAGCATCAAGCCACAGTCAGTATGCAAAGTGTTTAAATAGATAAGTAGATGTTGTAGAAACTGGGCTATTCATGATTAGAGAATTGAGGGTAAGCCTGCTTGTTATTGAGAAAAAAATAATGGGATAAAAAATTTTACAGGAATCATCAACTGCTTCTAAGGCCAGTTTTCCTGAAAATGAGTCCTCTCCTTCTTCACCAAAGCATCAAGCCACAGTCAGTATGCAAAGTGTTTAAATAGATAAGTAGATGTTGTAGAAACTGGGCTATTCATGATTAGAGAATTGAGGGTAAGCCTGCTTGTTATTGAGAAAAAAATAATGGGATAAAACTATTTGAAGGCTTTACATTTTAAAAGGAATGCGTTGCATCCAACTGTGCTTTCAGAAAACATGTAAATGTCTTTGGTTTAAATACAGGTTGGCAATAGGAGATTAAGTTAAAAATTCACTGTGGAATAAAGTTATGTCAGATTATGTAGAACTTGGTTTACTTCCTCCAACAGTCATGTCTTCTCACCTAGCAACTTGGAAGGTAAAAGCAGAAACAAACTGCCCCTCTCCACAGAATCTCTCACTGTCAGTAGTCAGTAATAGTTTGTCGTATTTGATATCTTTATTTTTTATTTGTGTTTCAGTCTCCTTGAAAAGACATAGAGGACCTGGCATAAATAAACTATGTCTTTTTTTTTTGGTAGAGTAATTACTGGGAGGAAAACTTAAGCTTGTTAAACTTGTTATGAATGTTAACAAATTTTTTGCTTCAGTTTATATTTTAAATGAGATAATTGCTTTTTAAACAGTGGGAAATAATTAAAAAAATGAAGTTTTTATCTTTTTTAAAAATTTTGGTACTGTACTACAATAGCATTGAAATATGTGCCTTGATCAATTTTAGCAGCCCTTTAGTAGGTAGCTCAGGGCATTAAAGGCACAACTTCTGTTTCATTCTTATTCTGCACGCAGAGGAATAAGCCAGTTCTCTGGCTTATTCATCCTGATCCATTCTTAAAACTACTCAAACAGTTTTCCCACAATAAAAATAAACATTGTTTATTAAGCAAACATAGTTGATAGCCTTACACACAAGCAATTATTGCTGCATGTATTCTAATTCCTTTAAATATGGCTCAGACCTTGAATTATTAAAATTGTATTTTGTAGAAGAACTTACTGCTGCTTTAGACAATAGAAAAAAATAATCTGTATTTTCTTTAGCTGTCCCCTGGGATTTAAATATTACAAAGAAAGCTGGTGAATTTTTGTGTATTTTGATCCTTAACTTGCTTTCCACTTCCTTTTCCCTGATTACATTAATTTTCCCATTAGTACCCCCCTAGTGTTGCTGCTAAGTAGGGCATTGTGATACTTTCTCTGAATAATTCTTCTTTGGAGCATTCCCACTGGTTCCACCATGAGTAATTTATTAAAACCATAATTTATTTGAGCAAGTGGGCATGGGTTGCTCAGTCACTGTGAAAGATGGTGACAGGCGGTTCCACTTAGTAAGGCCAAAGGTTTGTTAGAAGGATGCAACGCATAGGGCTGTTAGTGGTGGTCTGCATGGACCGCAAATAAAGTGATCTAAAGAATGGGCTGATTTTTTTTGTGGGGGAGGGAAGTGACTCATTTCTTATATTGAAAATATCAGTTTTGGAAAATAATGTATATATCACTGGCTTGGGACACCATTCCAGCCCAATGGAGATATTAGATTGAGTAAGTGTAGCAGTTACCATTGGACTGAAATAACATCTGAACCACCAGCTAAACACTGTTATCCTTGAAAACGTGTCTTTTTTTGTATTCTCTGTGCTGTGCTTGACACATGTAGGTAAAATTTTTAAGGTTCATGAAAAACAGATCTATGCCTTAGTAAGAGTGTTGTCACAGTATTCCAGCAAAAAATTTCTCATCTATATTGTATTCTGCAGTTATGGTGTACTTAAATTTGAGATTGAGGAGGATGCTGGAGAGAATATATCTTCTATTTTCATTGGATCTAGAATTGAGGACATTTTTGTTATGATAAAACTAATTTGGATCCTTTCCCTAGTTGATTGTTTCAACTAATAGCTTAGTTCTTAAATTAGGAACTGTTACAAGCTGTTACTGAAAAGGAATTGATTTAAAAAATAGTTTAACATTCCTTTAGCACCATTCACTGGTGGGACAAGGCTGGGGTGACAGGAGAAAATGACAGAATTTATTACCTCATCTTGAGAGTCACAAATGGTATAAATGGATGGTTTCCCTTTTTATCCTAGAATATTTTTTCAAACATTCCTTTATATTTTATTATTTTTGTACAGAAACTAGAAATATTCATTCCAAATATTTGAAACTTGCGAATACCCTTCTTGCTCAGCGGTGTTCTTTTTCCACCATTCACTGACTGATCTCCAAATTTGCAGAGAGGCATACCAATATAAATTATTTTCATCAGCAAGACATAACTAAGTAGTTTAAATTCTAATATTTTGCTTGGGGATAGGAAGAAATAGGACATCAAAGAAATGTTTCGCTCATCTGTTTTTGAAATGAATATGTTAATATTTTTATGCATTTCAACCATGTTTTATTTAAAATATGCAATTACGGTAAAATAACTTGGAAGAATTTTGTCAGAGAATTTAGGCTATTTGTGTCCTTTACTTAAAAAGGAGATGGCTGACAAACAAACACAAATGTGCTATTACACCATAAATTTATGTTTAAAATTTCCACTGTCTAGTACCACAAATGATTTAGTTTGGCTTGTCCAAAGAACCTAGGCCTTGAAGAAGGAAAGCTTTTTACCCTCTGAATGGTAATGAGTAATTTCCCAGAGGAGTTTTGATTTTTGCTGATCTCTGCATATTTAAATATACTTATGACAGTTTCTTGAAGTTATAACATGGGCAAAGATGGCTCATTGCCAGAAATTGATTATTTGGGGGATTGAATTCAGTGCCGTGATAGCAATAGAAGCACATTTCTTCTGTGTTTGTAATGTCTTACTCTTATCTTACAGGGTCAAGAGAAGTATGGGTTATTGAATGTGACAAAAATTACAGAAAATGGCAAGAAAGTTCGGTAAGTCTTGGACTTCTAGAAGTACATGTGCATAAGGGTTTGTGTAAGGTATCCGACTTCTATATTAGGACAACATACCAGGTTTTGCCATTTCTTACTTTTTGCCTGGATTTTCCTTAGAGGTCTTCCTGTAGGACACAGTGTTTCCTTATCCCAAAATATGTGTTCCTCCCAGTGAGCTAAAGATAATGGACTTCAGAGAGCCAGAGGCTCATGTATGCCAGGGCTCCACACAGGGCAGTGATTTCATGAAGGTGTACTGCTGAGAGACAGCTTTTTAAAATGGGATTGATTTATTTAAAAGAAAATCTGTATAGGTTATAGCCCGTCCTGTTCCTTGGATAGAATTGGTCTAAGAGGGGCGTTCAGACTTTAATTTCCAAGGAGTATACATGCCATGTGCTCCCTAATTCTTCCTTCACTCTACTTGTGAAGGGTTTGAAGCAGAATGTGTTGCCCAACGTTGGTCTCCCTGTAGGTGATGAATGAATTCATTTCTAACTTCCTTTCTCTGCCTCACAGGCAGGCATTTACATTATAAATCATAATGTATAATCAAGTAATGCTGTCTAACTTACGTTTCTGGTGTTTTGCAGAGAGTCAGTGTAAATTCTGCATAAGTGTGGCACATCCTCAGATTTAATTTAGGTTTACTGTTTAATTTTTTTAATTTAATCTTTTAGGTCTAATACTGCGTTATATCTAGTTCAGTGTTTCCCAGGCTTTTGAGATATGAAGCATGCTTTTCCTGAGGATTAAATAGTCAGCACCCAGCTGATGTTCCAGAGCCACCCTGACCTACTCCAGTGCAGCTGGGCAGCACATCTGACCCCCAATTTGGTTCCTCAGGGCTGGTCCTAAGAGCTTGGTAGGAAAGGGTGGACAGTGGCTCATGTAAGCTGCTACTGTTACAGTATACTCTCACCATTTATGCTGCATCTGTTGGAATCATTGATCTGGATTACTGGGCTGCTGTACAGAAAGGTGCAACATGGCTGTCCTGTCACTTTGAGAGCTGTTGAATAGTAATTCATGTTTGGGCAATGGGAATAGATTGTCAGGGCTTGTCAAGGCTTTTATTTTTTTTTAACCTCAGGGGGATAGGTACTCAGGCATAAAAGCAAATAGACAGCTGGGACAACTCATTTGTTCTTTTTCTGCATTTTTTAGATGTGTAGCAAATATTTTGTTGCTAATGTAAATGAGCTTATTATATAAATGTGGGACACTTACATCCCAGTTAGGTGTGATCAATCAATTTCAGAATTATGCAGTACTTTGGCATAATCTACTAGGTACACAGTAGGCTGAGTGTTCCAGATTAGCCCCTTTGAAATTATAATTGTATGGTGTTTCTCCTGGTGAACTGCTTCCACTACTAATTAGCTTTGTTTGATTTAGCCTTTGATGGTCAGGCTGGGACTGTTAACGTATGTTTCCTTCTACAAATATGATAGCAATTAAGACTTACTGATGGCACTAATGACCATATATATGGTTAAGTATATTAACATGCAGGTCAGCTGGGCAACAATGATTGACAGTTTAAATATCTACTTTCAAAGTCAATTTATCTTATGTTTGTTTACAAATATTTACAGAAAGAACTGGATGTCATCATGGGCAGTGTTACAAGGTTCATCACTACTGTTCACTAAAACCCAAGGAAGTGGAACTGGCTGGGTAAGCTCAGGAGCAACCCCCACCCTCATTTAAGTGTTAATCGTGTAAAGCACAATGAATTAAAGCCCTCTTATTTGTAGGGCTTAAATACCGATATGCATGCATAATTTAGAAAAAATAAGTGTGTCTAAATTAGCAGGAAAATAGTTTAAAGTAACAATTATGATGTAGAATGAGAAGAAAACCAGCTGTACTTTCTTACATTTCAGAAACATTTTTATAGTTGATAAGTAAGAAATGGATAAAGAGGTATTCAGGTGCCCTGTAAGCTTGAAGTTTTTGCTCCAGGCCAAATATTTTTGTGTTCCTTACTAATGTGTTCATCTAAACAGTTTGTTTGTTTTACTATTCTTGGATATTTTTTCATCAACTCCAGATAATTTTGAATGTGACACATGTAATAAAATAGTCTGACACTTGGCTTGTTGCGTTGGACTATTTGAATAATGTAGTATAGTTGCCTTATCATTTAGTCTTTGCCTTGCTGGATTCCACATTGTTTTATATCTGCATGACAAGTATTTGTATCTATTTTGATGTCTGATGAAGACCTAAAGAGAAACATCACACTGAAGATGATGATTATTGAATTTTTATATCATCTCTAGTTTAATAGCACCATAATTAAATTGGCTATATTTATCCAGCTGCATTCCTACATTAATAGGTATAGAAATGGTTCTTCATCTATGGCTTAATTACCTACTTTTGGAGGTCTGACATTAAACTGTGTGGATCTCCTATAATAACTAAAGAGAGATTCGTTATTCCAGTGTATTATCATGCGAATTCCAGCAAAATTGCATCTTACAGATATATGCTATCCTGCTGTGCTTTGTTGATCTTTCTACTTGGCTCACTTTCTCCTGCTGTGCTTTTTTTTGGGTAGTGAATTGGTATTGACAATTCTGTTCTAAAGCATTGAGTTCATTTCAGAGCTGTAAACATAATTTTTTTGCCCTTCTGTTGCTGTAGAAGGGGTGGTTGGAAAAAATGGGTGAAGACAGATAAATAACAACATTGGGGGTAGAAGAGAATGGAAAGAGTAAAGTTGGGCAAGATGGTCAAGCAGAAGGAAAAGAGAAGGGAAGGAAAAAGAATAAAGATTAAAGGCATGAGATAAGGTAAATTACGCTGTCTGGTAGGAAGTGGAGTTGGTGAGCTAAGGATGTCTGCCCACATTGTATGTGGGGAGGGGAAGAGAATGTGATGTGCATCAGAGACAAAGCACAGAAAAAGGAATAGAAACATGTATACATATGAAAGTTACTGACTTTCCCACCTGTAAACATTGGGACGCTAGGTAAATACAATTACTGTTATTCTTCAGTGAGAAAAATATTGTCAATAAGAAAATGCACAGAACTTGTGAATTTTTTAAATATAATTTTTATAACAAAGTACATTGAAGAAATATTGAAGAACCTTAAAAGGTGAGCTTTGAAGCAGGAACTACTGAGATTTGGAAGGTTTGAAAACTCATTCCCTTGCCTTCCTTCATGCCCTTCAGTCATTGTCTATTGTTTAGTCAAGTTCAATTTCATCACCCTACTTCATAAAATGGAAAATTCCTAGCCAGCCTGAGGTGAGCTTTGATATTTTGATATTTAGTCTCAGTGCACAAAGAATACTATTATTTTTGCAGCACACTAATATTAATGATGGAAACTGATAACTTTTGCAATTTACTTTTATAGCTAAGGATCCAAAAAGTACTTTAATTTTATAGGTATAAATATGCATGTCTGGAAAGTAAAACATTTTGCCTGAGTGAGTAATCAAGTTCCAAAAACTTGATTACCACTACCAATACTCTTAATCCAAATGTAGCTGTAGATCAAAAAACTATTATTTTAAGTATATGTTGATATCATTGAAACACACAGTGCTAAACTAAGATACTGTTTATGAATGTATGATACTGTTATGAATGAATGTGTGCCCAAATGAATTATCCATAAAAGATAGTCATGCAACTCTGCTATTGCTTAGGGATGCTAGTATAAGTTGTGTTACACCTTCCAAATACAGTCATTTGGTGGGAAAACAAAAAGGCATAAATTCTTTTGATCACTTAAGTGGAGCAAAAGTATCATAGTCACAATATTTCTGTGCGAGACTGTCAGGTATGTGTACTGTCAAGTAACTTTGTAAATATGTAATTGAATATTCAGCACATGCTCTTTTTGCTCTCTGTGTAGGAAATTTTTTTGGGGGTATTAAAAATTCCACCTCATCTCTCAAACTTTGATCTGTATCAGTATTTTAACAAGGTGAAGTCAAGTCTAACAGTTTGACATATGATAATTACATTTCTTCTTCATCTTATGAGAAGAATATTTGTTAAGCATTCGTCTAGTGTTTTGATATAACCATATCTTCTTTTTGTGCATTGTTTTGTGACTTCATCACTCTTCTTCCTTTTTCTCATCAAGTCATTTTGCCAAGGGGGCTCAATTCCTGAGCTCTTGCTCTCGCTGCTTTCTTCTTGGAAAAATGCTCTCAGTTGTCGACCTGCTGTCACCTATGTAAACTCTGACCAAGTTTCAGCTATCACTGTATGTGTTCTTGTTGCATGCCTCTTGTCACTGTAAGGCTGTTTGCCACTAATCTTGAAAGTAAATTTGAACTTTTCCAAGGTTTAAGTTTCATCACTTCATATAACACCTTGTGTATCCTGTTTGCTGAAAGTCATCCAAGGTGCAAATTAACACAAGTGTATTGCAATAATCCTGTAATTGTTCTAATGGAACAAGGTAGAAAGAGTATCTGGTTCATCAGTGCCAGAATTATAATCCCAAATTTGTCTACTATTTGAACCACTAGTGTCTTGACTAATAAACAGCATGATATGGTCAGTTTTTTAACAAATATTTTATGTCTAATTCTTTCTAACACAGCTAATTTAGGACGTTTGTAAGGTACCTATGATGCTTTTGATACAGTGATGTACATGTTGTTGGTTAATTATGGCTATAATTGGAATACCCAAAAATGTAAATGTTAAGCATAAAAAGCTGAAAGGAAAAGAGCTCAAGGATGTTCTGGCTATATGCCACATACAGAAAGCGGATGTAAATTTGTAGGACTCTCTATATATAATTTAAGCATCTGTAGTTAGTCATGTTTTGAAGTGTAGATACCAAGCATAGAAGTGCTGCTTATCAGAAACTGATAAAATGTTGGTAGCTAATATGGTAGCTTGTTGCTCAAGGTGGATGAGGAGGAATTTAGGTAATGATACTGGTGTTAGAAGAAACAAGCAGGCTTGACTGGTTGTATAATTGTTTTTTTAATATCACTTTCTCAGCTTTCTTATCAGAATCAAACTAAAGCTTTCATGGAAAAAAATCATGTGCTGAAGACATTAAAAGCAACGTTTCAATAATTTGACTTCTTGATGATTTTAAAGTGTTGGTGATGTTTAAAACTATTTTGGTATCTTGGCTTGTATTTCCTGAAGAGGGGAGAGAACTATATGTTTTGAGTTTAGTTGAGATTCCCGAGACTTCTAGAATGACCGTTTTGATGACCAGTACCTTAATTTTTTTTTTTTCCCCTCCAAGTAGGGGGGAGTAACTGTAGGCTTATTCAATTAACCTTGTGCTAAAAATGATGCAGCTGCCTTTTCTTTGTCTGTCAAATTCATTGCTGTGTATGTGGAAGCCTGGAACAGATAATTTGTACACAGTTTGGTATCCTTTAAAATGCTACTTTCTGTAAGGAAATCTGTGGATTTTTTTTTTAATGTGTCTTTTCAGACATTTAAATTTTCAGCTGTTGAAAGAAGGTGTCTCTCAACTTTTGGTGTGATCGAGTTGTAATAGCTATTGCCAAATTTTATCTATGGGGCTTCATAAAACACAGCAAATGGTAACTGCTTAGAAGGATTCATCTGTCAGCCTTCTTGTAATAATCACGTGTCCTCAGTGTCAAGTACAGTGGTGGTAAACCAAAAGTGGGTAACCTTCTCAAACATCAGGGAAATAAATGCTCTTCAGGGTTCATCTGGGCAAACTCTTGTCTACTGTGTTATACCACTGTGTTTATAGGCAAGGATATTATGTGTACATTACTACAGTTCATCAGTATTGTACAGCTGATTATACAGGAGCTCAGATGATTATCATAAAAACTATTTGGAATGCAAACACTCCTATCAGAGTCTGGCTTCAAAAAACTTACATCACTTTGCTATGACAGTGAAGAATATCTTTATATTTTTCTTTTTTTGTTAAAGCTGTAAGTTCTGAAGCTCCCTTACCAGCCACAGAGGAGCATGTGTCCTCTCAGCTCTATTTCTGCAGTCCATGTGCGGGTGAGGAGGACTTGGAATTAAAACGTTCTACCCAACTCTAATTAGAAACAGAATTACGAGAATGGCAGGTGTCATTTGTACATCCAAAGTCTTCCCATAAATAACATCCAGTTGAGTTTCAAAAAAAATGCTGGAATATACCACAATACAGACTGCGTGTCTTGTCCTGTGGAGGCTTCCAGGACTTGGAGAAAGCTCCTGAAAAGATTGAAAAGGCCTTCTATTTATTCATGTCAGCACACATCTTCAAGGCAGTCCTTAAGCTACACAGCATCTACTACGTTTGAACTAGCCCCCCCGCCCCTTCTTTCAAAAAAGTGGAATGACTACACCTTTTTTCCTAGAAAAAGTTGTTAGAAGTGACTCTAGGACAGCTTTGTATCTAGGACAGCTTGCAGCGCCATGTATAGACCTCTCCCTCTTTCTCTCTCACACTGCTGTCCTTTCTAAACTTCCCAGACAGCTCAAAAGAGAAATCCAGTAAGAATAAGGTGTCTGCTCAGTAAGAATTGTATTTATCCTGACTAGTGCTGACTTGGCAGTGCACCCTGTTTTGAGAAAGCAGACTTTATGTCTAGGTGGCAGCAGATGCTAAACGGAAAGCTTTTCTTTTTACTGCTCCCAACAAAACCTACATGCTTTCAGCATGGTTTGATTGCCTTTAGCTAACCTCTGCATGCAGAGCGTCTGAGCGGCCCTGTACAGGACTTGCTCCTGGAAGCTTTCAAGGAGGGAATGGCTGCTGGCATCTCGTTTTCATACACCCAGGAGCAGAAAAGAACCTTGACAGGAAAGCTCACAGGAGAGCTTTGAATGAAGCTCTTGAATGCTAAACTTAGAATTTCCTTGAACAAAGAAGTTAAGTTTGTGATGAGTATATAATACATTGGTATATCAGAGGAGCTTTGCAGAGAGGCTGGATTGTTTGGATGGGTTTCCCCATCCTTGGACCTCACACAGCGGTTTGGGCACTGCTTGTGTGAAGGAGCGGGGGAAGACTTCTTTTTTCCCCTCTGAGAAATTTAGCTTCTAGTTTTTGGTTTGTTCTGTGCTTCTCTGAAATGCTGAAGTGAGTCAGGCCAAAAACATGGGTAGAGTGCAAAGGTGTTTGAGGTAGTACTGCGATCTGTCAGGTGCGGAGTTCAGCAAGCTAATGTATTGGAGGGCTTTCCTTTTGGTCAAAACAGCAGTGACTGTTACATTTTTTTTGTTGTTGTTTTGTTGATTTTATCTGTAGCAGGTCGTCTCCTGTGCTTCTCAGAACCATCTGGGCGGTGTTTTTAACAAATCCCCTCTGATCCTGCAGAGGACTTTGGCACTGGTGTCCTGCTCTCTACAGTGCCCAACTCTATAAATGGATTATTTTTTTTTCCCCAACATGCAGCAAAATTGTTCTAGGCTGTCAGGAAACGTGTGGCTGGAGCACTTCGGTTGTATGTGAAGCAGTTATGTGAATCTCTCTTAAATAGGCGCCTGCTGCATGGCTGCCTACAACTGCAAGAGCCGTCATAGCCCAGAGATTGTTCCTGTTCCTGTGGACTCCACTGCTGAGCTGGGCATCTCTCAAAAGCTCTACTACAATTAATAAGAAATGTTCTTGGATGAGGTGCCTGAGAATTAAGTTAGAAAGCGGAAGGGTTTGTTTTTTTTCCCCTAAGTGCTAGCTGGCATTGGGTAAATTAGAAATATTCCCCTATTCTGATACTTCATGGGTAAAATAAAGAAGTTAAGATTCTACTTTCCATTCATCACTTAATTGCCCTTAGGACTCAAGGCGGGGAGATTTTCCAGTGGTAAACAGCCTTTCTAAAACACAATTAGCATTAATTAACGTCCATGCTGGGAATTTAATCAGAAGCAGCAGATTAGTTCTGTTTTCTGAACCGTTTTTTCTCCCCTTGGATATGGCTGTTCTTGTACAGGCTGGAAACTCGTGTTCGCAGCAAGGAGCTTGTCCTGGGGCTTACGTCCCCCAGAGCTCTCTCATGAACAGCATTCGCACATCAAAGACTTTTTAAAGAAATAGAAAAGAACCTTTCTGATGGCTCAGATGCTACAAGCTTCCCCTAGAACTACAGCATTAAATTTGTGCTACAACCAAGTGACTTACAGCTTTCCCTGTTCCATGTTTTACTTATTTTACTTACAATTAGAGCTTTTTTTTTGTATGGGCCACTGAATTGGTTTCCTTGAAGAATGGTATTTCGAAGCTATGTGGTGTAGGTTGAAACCCTAGTAAAAGTACTTTATTTTAAAAAACTGTGATACCCAGTTTAAATGTAAAAGTAGTAGGTAAAAATAGCTCCCTGATGTTTTCCTCCAAATTGTTTGAAGGGTTATTTGTGGGTTAAATGCTTTTTTTACCACTTTGGTTATTTGCTGTTTGTTTAGTAGCTAGACAGTGAAATTGAATTCTGTTTGCTAGGATATGGTCCAGTATTGCAATAGAAGAACTACAGAAAAATAGAAAATAAAGTGAAAAGCATTGTTGGAGGTGTATATAGATAGACACACACACACACACAGGAAATATATATATTCTGCGAAAATGTAAAAACTGAAAGTGCTTTTTCAGTGCAGGAGGGATGTGATTCCTGTCTAGCAAAGCTACTATTTCTGGTTTGATTTTTGGTTTTATATACAACTATTGATTAACTGACAGAATGGTTTGGGTTTTTTTTTTTTGGTTCAGTTACTTGTTAGCCTGTTTTGTTTAAAGCTTGGGACTAGCTTGACTAAAATCAAGCTACAGTCAAATGCTGTATGGACTTCTACCATTTGTGATAGGAAAAAAAGCTCTGCTGGAATTTGGTTGGCATTTAAAGTTGTGGAATTTTAAGGGCTTTAAGCTGAGCAGCTTTTAATAGGCATGTTTAAAGGGTGTTTTGTGTGTGGTTTTTGTTTGGTTTTTGTTTTCCTGGTATCATGTCTGTTGATTTGTGACAAAGTACTGTATCTGGGTTAAGTTGTACAGACTGTAAATAATGTATGTTATATTTAGAGGATTGCAAGACTGTGTACCTGTTAGGAGTTTCTTTTTTTGTTTTTAAGTTTGTCATCATTGTTCCTTTTTTCCAGAAGTTTGGTGTCAATCAGTCTAAGCCAGAATTTACAGTGGATCTCAAAGGGGCATTGATTGACTGGGCCTCAAAGGACAAATCCAGCAAAAAGAATGTTATTGAGGTGAATTATTTTATTTAAATGCAGAATTAGATGTACTTTAATTAATGACTTAAGAAATTTTCTCTAAACTTAAAATTAAAAACTTTGAGTTTTCTACATTTCTTCCTGCTCAAATGTAGATGTATCTTAGTACCTGCAAGAAATGTCCATTTTTAATACGTCTGTATGGGATATGCTTTTAAATTTTAAGCAGACTGTTATTTACTGTTTTCACTGTTAATTTTAAGCAGACTTATTTACTGTTTTCACTGGTAAGTGTTCCTGAGTGGCTATATATTATCTATAAGTTACGCCAGGGAGAAGTTTAATTTGATTTAGGTAATTTCACTTTTGAATTCTAGTGTGTTTATAATTTCTTTTGATATCTGTTTTTATTTCTTTAAAGCTAAAAACCCGCCAAGGAACTGAGCTCTTAATTCAATCTGATAATGACAGCTTTATTAATGAATGGTACAAAGTATTTAACTATACGATCAACAATCAGGTATGTGTTTGAATCATGAAGGCTCTATTTTCAAGGTAACGTTACTTAGTAAAATAACTGATGTAATGACTCCTAGTGCTTCACATACATCTTCATTTCCTGATTTTCTTGAACATGGGCAGGAGTTTGGGGATATGGCAGTTCCTGGTGGTGACAAGTGAAATATAATTAATAGCGGCAAAGGAAGAAGGGTGGTCTACTGGATTAAGAACCAGGAGATGCGGGCTGATCTCCAGCTCAGAAATGAGCTTCCTTCTGTGGCCAAATACTTGTTCTGTCTCAGTGATCTTGAAAGGTTCTGATAGAGAGGGAGTAAAGGGCGGAGGACGGCCAAGGAAGTGCTTCATGACATACATTAATCAGCATTTGATACTGCTCTTCACTTAATAAGGCTGCACGAAAGTGCAAATTAAAAGCCCTGGCAAAATACTGTATTATCTCTTCTTATCAGACAGTGTAATGCCAGCTATTTAATCAACAGAAAAGTGATCAAGCATTTGCTCTTGATATTGCCAAACAAGACTTACCATTTTTGAATTCAGAAGAAGCTGGAGGAGATCTTGGAGAAAATATTCTTTTCATATCAAGTTGACTTCATGCGTATTCTTAATTTTTATAATTACAGGCCTGGCTGCTGCCCATAAGCTGCATTTATGTTGCTTTTGATGTCAGTCAGTGGCCTTCATTTCTCTTAGCTCTGATAGTGTTTTCCACATATGGGTGTTTTCCACGCAAACATAGCAGGCTAATATGAATGGTTTAGTTTCTTTCTGAGTGCTCATGGTTTAGGGTCCTAATCTTCTGCTCTCTGCTGGTATGAAAATGTCATGACCCTTAATAACCAGGCAAGGCAGTCACTCAGTGATACCATTCTCCTGTCTGCCCCGTGTAATGCAACTGAGGCCACTTCTTCCCTGCTTAAATATAAATGATGATGGAAAGGCTGAAATACAGCTGAGATGAGAGCGAGGTATTGCATATTAGATTGAGGAAGTGAGTGGTGGAATAGGGAGAGCTTATCACCACTCTGGAGCAAATGGTGATGTATTACTGCTGGGAGCTGGTAGCCAAGAGACCTAAGATTACAAGGGAAAAGTTCAAAATGTATATTATTACACTACCTGATAATTTGAAGCACTGAAGCTTTGGCTACAAAAATCCATCAGATCTGAAGCAGACTTCTAATTTTCAGAACTTTATGGTAATAGTAGCTGTTTCTAATAGTTTTTTCCCAGGACAGCTATGGCTAGTTCTAGTGTGATGAGATCTTTCCTCAAAAGAAGGTACAGCTTAGATTCTGGTCTCTTTGCTCCTTCAGGCTGCTGTTCTGGCAATATGCTGTACAAGAGGAATAGCTATCTGCGAAGGATGTGGCTGCTCTTTTTTACATACAGAAATTTCCAAGTTACTAGGTTAGACTTGTTCCATAATACAAACTAGATCCCGCATGACTTTTTCCAAAGCAATTCATGTGTTTTAAATTTAACAGTCCTAAAAAGCTTTGAGGCCTCTTGAAGAGAGCACTGTCCAAATGGCCTCAGTGGCAGAGGGATCCTTAGCAGGGACATTAATCAGGCAGTTGAATATATTGATCTTTGATATGTAAAAAGGCTATCCAAAGCTTTTGAAAAGCAACAGGGAACGAGGATTGTTTAAAGCTAACGTTAGCCCTTCAAGTTAAAGTGCAACTTAGTCGATGAAGTCACGCTTCTCCTCACTCAGCGCTCTGGAGTACGCAACCTTGCCTTATTTTTTAAAATGCCCTTCCTTGTAACAAAAGACACTGTACTGTCAGATTTTTGTAACTGCGTTAGAAGTCAAGTTCACTTCAGTAGAAGTGAAGTAAGAAATACAGAGTTTTGGAAGGGCGTATGTTGCGCTGAGACCAGAGGAAGTTTCTTTTCCTATTTGCCGATATGTCTGCGTGTAGCATAGGTATGAGGCCGCAGGTGGGCAGTTTCAGACTCTGGTATCTGCCTCCGCACTACGTGATCTATGTTTTCTCTTGACTCTGTTTAATGAGAATATGCTGAGAGAGCGATAACACAGGGCAAGGATTTTGGGCCCTGGTGTATTTACTCTCTCAGAATGAATTCAGTGTATGTTTTGACAGTGGTGAAATTTTCCGACTGGCAATTCTATTTTCTGTCACAGAAAATTCTAATTACAGAAATTAGAAATAGGGTAAATGCTCTAAAGTGTTTTGTAGACGCTGTTAATCAGGTGCTTCACCATGTAAAAAATAGCTGATGTTTGTCTACTGGATTTGAAAAAACATTAATACTGTTTATTGGTTGATGTAATGAAGTTTTATAATCAGGTGCTTCTGTAGCAGACCATGTAAATGAAATAGCTGATGTTTGTCTACTGGATTTGAAAAAACATTAATACTGTTTATTGGTTGATGTAATGAAGTTTTATCATAGAAGACTGGTGATACTTTGTTCAGTGTCCAGCAAAACTTTCTTTATTTGGTCTTATGATCAAATAGTGTTTCTCAAAGTTATTTGCTCTGCCAGTGAGAATGGTATTATCTCTGAAGATATTTTCAGCATCTAGTGTTCAGGAAAGAACCAACTGAATATCATTATAGGGAAAAAAATATGTATTGTAGAACTGTCTGCAGGAAATGTGTGTGTTAATGCTATATTCTATGAATTGGTAACCTGACCACTGTATCTTCTTAAATCTAATAGGTAGTAGAGTCTGATGAAGCATTAGAAGATGATGTACCAGACTCCCCTGGGGTGGAAAAACAAGACAAAGAGAAAGAGAATAAAGACTCTAAGAAACTTCGTTGTGAGTTGAAAATTTTCCATTAATTGATTTTAGCAATGCCACTTTTTAGTTTTTGCATCTTCAGTATTATGTGTAAATAGAGAAGAATTCAAAAGGACAGTTAAAAATGAAACTACTCAAATTTGGAAACAGGCTTTGATATAGTTCATCCTACATCTTGGTGCCAGTTAGTAAGTTTTCTTCCATATTTTATTAATCATACTTTAAAAAAAAAAAGGGGAAAAAAAAAGCACCAACGTCTTTAGCTCCTGCTGTATGACACATGAAAAACAGGAGAAAATAGGCAGTGGTGAAATGGATTATTTTCAAAGTATTGTCAACTGTACAGAAGTAATGAGACTTTTTTTTTCCCCTGTGACTTTTATAAATGGTTTTGTTTAAGGTTCCTTTTGTGCTTTTACATGTTCAAAACTGATTAGAATTGTTTTACTTGGTTTTTGTCTGTGGTACAGCATCTGTAAATACTTGCACTATTAACTAAACTGCAATTTCACTAAGTTGCTAATGAGGTTATAGTGGCTCATTTAGAGAAACATTTTTAATTACACCTTCAGAATTTGAGTTAAATTTCTTTTAGCCACAGCAATTTCTTCCTATGCACAGAAACATATTAATCAGGCAGACTGTCTTCTGGGCCTTATAACTCATTTGCAAGAAAGTATTTGTTTCTTTTAAAATAGTTAAATTAATGAAAGGCAGGACTGGTTTTGAAACATAGCTATATTTTTTGAATTCCACATCAATTACATATGGAAGCTACCATTTAGTTAGTTTCACAGGCACACTTGGTTTTACAAGTTTTTTGTGACAGGGTTGTCTCTTGGTGGTTTGAAAAATGGATGCTATTTACAAGGAGTTCCCAAAAGTTAAGGAAAAAAATTTGGATGCAATGCAAATTTGAATAGGTTTTTAATGTGGTTTTGAGCTTAATTTTTTTTTTTATGTTGGTTCCTTGGCAGATAAACGCAGTGTTGGTTCTGTGGGTATTCACACTTAATGCGTTTCTCTTTTTAGCAGTGAAAGCACCTAGCAATATAGATTCTACAGATCAGAAAAAGACCAAAACGAAGCTCAAGAAGTTTCTTACACGGCGCCCTACATTACAAGCTGTCCGTGAAAAAGGCTACATTAAGGGTAAATGAACCTTTTTAACAAAGGAAATAATTTGAAAAGCTGAATTTAGTAGTTCATGTGTAAAATGGGGTTAAAATGGTCTAGTATTGGAGTAAAACGCATGTATATAGCTGGTTTAACAAAAGTCTTGGAGGTATAGTGGAACTGGTGATTGATTGTCATTCTTCTGAGCGCTGCTACTAGCCACTAAACTTCACAGAGGACGTCCTGTCCTTCAGCTCATTACTGGCAAAACTGCAGTGAAAATTGAGGGCCCAGGAGCCTGTTTGGGCTTGGAGTGCTTCTTAGCTAGAGAGTCCATTTGGTCTGCTGTTCTGAGCTGGAAACTTCAGATAGCTGATAATCATTTGTGCATACAAGGGAAAGGAAAGCCCTTTGGGTGCAAAGCTGAATGCATGTGCTCATCTGTTTCACAAGGGTGTTTTAGTCTGAGTGGAACCAGACAATCTTGTGCCATCTCATAAGAAATGAAATATTTAGGCAAACTGAGATGAGGCTAAAGGAATCTTAACTTAAACATCTTTTTTCCCCCTAACCTTTTTTGAATGTATACATTTTTAAAATTGTTGCACAAACAATGAGTCTTACAGATATTCTTGAATCAAACTTTTGAAAGAATTGATTTCCATTTGTCACGCTTGTAGAAACTTTGAGAGAACAGTACTTGCACAGGTTTAAGTTAATGTGTTTGTGTAAATTATTGATTTGGTACTCACTGTAAAACTTTATTTATTTATTTGTATGCTTCAGC